CCACATTGATATTGTGTGAAATATGGCGCTAGGTTAACGGTTTAGAGGTTGAGTTTTATTAATTGTGTACTACTACTAAGAAACATAGTGTAAGAATAGATCGAGATTTGTAAAATTGTTTTTCATTATTGTTTAATTGGTTTAATACAAAGTTGCAAAATATTACGCTGCCTTATTTTTCAGATGTTATTATCATGTTACCGTTTATTTTGCATGAAATAGGAAATCAAAACATGTATTCATATATAAATGCTGATTCACATTTTAAGTTTTTAGGTTTTCTATGATATTTATGACAAATATTGTGCTATTTGATAATCTCTGATACAAGATGCTTAAGTGTTACGTGTGGCCTGTTCTTTTGTACGGAATGGAAGCATGGACGTTAAAGGCCAGTTCCATTAACAAACTTGAAGTGTTTGAAATGTGGTGCCTGCGTCGAATGCTTAGAATATCATGGACGGACAGGGTCAGAAATGAGGAAGTACTCAGAAGAGCGGGCTTACAGGATAGGGAACTTTTTAGTTATGTAAAAAGTAAGAAGACTGCATACTTGGGGCACATATTATGAGAAGAAAGCATCGAGCAAAAAGATAAAAGAGGGAATCTAATCGTTATGAAAAGGAGACCAAAAAAGTGGCCTCTGATGGCGGACATATCCGGAAATGCGAATGCGCTAAATTTAAATTTTCCAACACTTATTAACAATAGCTATAAAATATTTTTCAGACGAGAAAGTTTTAATTAAATATTAACTATAATAGTCTTAAAAGTGACACAATTGGTAAAAAACTTCAATATAAATAAAATTTCATGTGACAGTTGGGACAAACAATAACATAACCAAACTAAATTTGACTTCTCAAACAAGGAAAGAGACTGTCTTTCCTTGTTTAAAGTGGCCTCTCAAGATAGCACTTCCTGTCTAACAATATTTTTGTTCCCACTACCTTTACATTCCCTCTTTTATCTTTTTGCTCGATGGAAGAAAGATACACTTTTCAGCAATCCACAGCTATGAAATGCTTCGCAATGCTGCTAAAAACAGAATTATTTAATCCTGACTATTTAACATTTCACCTGACAAGACGATGTACGGTGGACGCCTACGCAGAAATGCATGGCACCTTAAGAAGAATAAAATTGTGCTATTTGCACGAACATTTGTGCGATTTGCAAAAGTGATCCGAACTACTAGGAGCTAGGCTCAGGACACTGATAAACTTTGTGTCTCAAAGACACCGTTAGGTTAGGTTATGACTGTTCATGTTAGTACCAAGATATGTATAGATGTTTACCCTGTCAATTAGCTGTTGGTTTACCAAAAGATGTGTATTTAATATTTCGCGTTTATGTACTTTGTTTTGTTCATCTCGACTTATATGAGACTGGATCTCGAATATGAGATCCAGCCCATATTCTCGACTTTGCATATGCACTCCGTTAACTAAGACGTCTTTCTGTAGTTACCCCAGTGCTTGCTCGAAGATACGCTCCGAGTACATGTTAAATAGCACTGGAGACAGAATGCATCCTTGTCTCACTCCTCTATCTATGGAGATTGTCTTTGTCAACTGGTCATCCACTTTAATGTTGACAGTTTGGTTGTAATATAAATTATATATAATTCGCAAGTCTCTATCATCCAAGCCCGCTTCTTTCAAGATGGATATGAGCTTGTCATGTTTTACTCTATCAAATGCCTTTTTGTAGTCGATAAAACAAATATATACATCACAGTTGACATCCCTGCACCTCTGGATAAGCTTCTAGGATAAGAAAAGGAAATAGAAGGTGAATGTATTTACATCTATCAATCTCTTATCACAATCAGTTTCAATATCCCCAGCTTACATCGTTACATTCACCTTCTATTTCCTTTTCTTGCTTTCTCGTTTATTTCTTTTTTCTTTTTCTTTTCCTCGACTCATCTTCCATAAATTACAATCCAACTTTTATATATACTCATTTAATCATACACATACAATCATACACATTTTCTTATAAATATTCATTTTACATCTATCAATCTCTTATCACAATCAGTTTCAATATCCCCAGCTTACATCGTTACATTCACCTTCTATTTCCTTTTCTTGCTTTCTCGTTTATTTCTTTTTTCTTTTTCTTTTCCTCGACTCATCTTCCATAAATTACAATCCAACTTTTATATATACTCATTTAATACAACGAAACAATTAGGTAATAACATCCTTTTCATCCCATTTAAAATGATTTATTAATTTTAACCACTTAAATTAAAAAAATTTTCCCTACCTTGGTATACCGATTTATTTTACATCGCAGTCACTCATTGATTTATATTCTCCCATCAGTTTTTTAAAATACCAAAAATTGCTAATGATCCTACTACACACAAAACACATTTCTTCACTAAAAACTGCCTACTCACAAACTTAAGCACAATGACTTTGCTCCTACCACATCATTCCTCTTGACATTGACGGGTACTAACTGATTTTTCATACCATCTTTCTATCAGTTAGCCCTAGACTCCAACACAGATCAGAGGTAATGTAAGTCAATAAAACCTCACCAACTACAGGGGGTCATATAAGATGCCCCCAGTTTCATTTTTTAATATTACACAATTCAAGAGTCTATTGCATTTACCTGAATAAATAACATGAAGATTATTTTTTAAATCCAGATGTCCATCGAATGTTTTTTATGTGGCCACACAATGTTTTTTAACAACTTTTTATGTAAGTAGTAAAAAACCAACTTTTGCTTTTTGTATATTCAAATTTTACATACTTTCTTGTTTTTAATATTGGTATTTTTACTCTCTCTTTTAGTAAACTGATGATGGAATGATACAATTCCGAAAAGATCTTCTTTATAATAAAAAATTTTAAGCTTTTAATAAGCGCTTTTTTATACCTCAATACACACGAACACCACGTGCTTTGTATTATAAGTCTTACTGGCCTCGTATAATGTTTTAACATTTCATGTGCAGATTGCATTTTCTTTGCACTAGATTGATAAGAATTTCGTCTGTTGACGACCGAGAAGGCCTTGCCGTCTTGTGATTGTCCTTCTCTGCCGGATCTTGGTATCTGAATCCCATGATCAGTATTATCTTTTCTTTGACTAGTTATTCTATTGCTGATTATACTAGGGGTACTCTCCGAGTCTTTAATGCAGTGGTTCCCGGTTGTCTTCTGTATCTTTAGTTGTTAATAGGTTTCTCTGCCTTCAAGACCGATTTATCCTCTTGGGACAAAAATGTGCCCTTCCACTTATCAGCTCATACATCCGGAGCCGTTGGCCAGTAAGTGGGAGCATTGATTATACCGGAAATCACTCAATTTTTCACCATATTTGGCTACCCTCATTTAGTCTAACCTGCAGACCAATGCAGTTGCCCAGGGTGTGGCACGTGGAGCCATAAGTGAGAGTTAGGTGTCTTATGATGACCAGTTATCAAAAACCATCTCCAGTCTATGAACGATGTGGTCGTTCCGATAAAAGGTGCTACGCCTATAGCACAACCCACATAATGGTAAAAATAAAACAGACTTGTGATCAGTATGGATTAAAACTCAACGTTAAGAAAACTAAATATATGATAGTTAGCAAACAAAATTATATACAGGATGACGGTATAAAAGTCGGAGATGCCACACTGGACAGAGTAGAGAAACTCGTGTATCTCGGCAGTAATATCAATGAGAGCTGGGATCCAGCCGCAGAAATTAAAAGCCGAATAGAACAAGCCCGAGCTACCTTTGTAAAAATGAGAAACGTACTTTGCAGTCACGATCTTAGCATTGACCTTAGAGTTCGCATGACATCTTGCTACATCTTTCCTGTCCTGCTGTATGGAGTGGAAGCGTGGACTCTAACTGAGGCTATGCTTAAACGCTTGACAGCCTTTGAGATGTGGGTATACAGACGACTACTGAAAATAAGCTGGGTCGACAGAGTTAGAAATGAGGAGGTCCTTAGACGGCTGAGCCAAACAACACAACTGGTCAATATAATAAAGAAACGCAAGCTGGAATACTTCGGTCACATTATGAGACACCCTGAAAAATATGATCTTTTACATCTGATCATTCAGGGAAAGATCCAAGGTAATCGTGGTCCTGGTAGAAGAAGAACATCATGGCTGAAAAATCTAAGGCAATGGTATGGAAAATCAACTACATCGTTATTTAGAGCTGCTGTCAATAAAGTCACGATAGCGAATATGGTAGCCAACATGATATCCAACGATCGATAACGGTCATGGAACTAGAAGAAGATATAATGGGTATGAGTAGTAAAAAATGGGATGTGGCACTCCGGGGGTGATCGAGGAGGAGAAGCATAGCTTTCTTATCGTAGTCTTTGCACGGAGCCATAGAATATATATGACCTACTACATACAAGTGTTTCATTTTAATAATTATCAAATTACTCAATTAATATTAAGGAAAAGTCAATAAAAAAGAAAATAGTAAGAAAATCTTAGTACTGTCTTATACTGATAAAAATAATAGTAAAAACTCGCATAGAAGTGCATTTACAATTCTATGTAGTTTTGTGAGTGTGAAAAATGATGAAATGAAAGAGAGTGAGTGGGAGATAAGGGGACAGATTATACAACTATACATAGCCGTATTAGAGATCAGTAAGTATACATTACAGTCTGTGCTTCGCGCAATCTATCATTTCAGTTGTTCGTGTCCGCTCCGTCCGTAGCCCGCGATAAGTAAGCTATGCTTTCAACAACTTTTTTGTTTTAAAATTGCTAGTACACACTTGTCACAAATATCGTAGTTGACTCTAACTCAGTAGATAGAAAAAACGTGCTGTCAAAGTTGTTACATGATTTTTGACTGCGCTTGAAGGTACAAATTAAAACACTATATTAAAATTTTACATTATATTTATTAAATATTATGTAAATAGCATGTAACTAAAATAAATATTTTTCATGTAACTCGAACTAGAGTTATGATTACAGTTATATAAATAAAAAGATCGGTAACAAAAAATGTGTTCTTATTTATTAGACATTTATAAAGGTATAAACAAGTTGAGTTTAAACTTCTCCAGTCATCATCTCCATGAATTCTGAAACAAAAAGAAGTTATTTAAAATGTTATATAATAATAATATTCAAAGAGACATTAGGCTTAACTTATCAATATTAGAGTACATAGTGTAATAGAGAAAACAGACTGGAAACATATACCCGTTGAAAACAATATGGAAACTGAAAATATCCCAATCAACCTCGGTATTTTCCAAGGAGACTCGTCCATTGTAGATCTGTCCAGCGATGGGTTCCCTTTCTCGGGTTTTAGCATCAAAAATAAATACTGTAAAGCTGAAGCATGATGGTAGGTTGTATATAGATGATTTAAAATTAATGGCTTCTCTTCTAAACCATTTATATCACATACAAAACCCGTAGAAACTTTATAGAATGATGCTTAGTATGTACTTCGGACTAAGCAAATGCCGTGTTCTAGATATAGTCAAAGGAAAGGTTCAACTCGGAGGATTCAATATGAAAAATAATTGAACATCATATTTTATTAGTAAAAATTGTTTAGGGCATTACATACATTCGTATCATCCACGCTTACCTACTTATTTGGTATTGTTAGGTGGATTAAAACGGATATAGAAAATCTTCAGCGAACACTTCTCATTCACGCATATAAACATCATCTGCGATATCTAAGAGAAAGAAAACTTGTGGAAATAAGTGAGAAAAATTAGGAAAACAGGTTGTAGATTTATCTTAGTTACCGAAACTGGCTAAGCCATGTACTTTAACACCGCTTAAACTAAGGGAACAAGAAAAGCACACAAAGCCTATCTAAAAAAGAAAAAAATGTGAATATAGATGGGAAAACCTCTGCATGAGTGACATCCCACTGAAGTAAGCCACGACTATGTCAACAACACAGCGTCGAACTATTGGTTAACATCAGGAAAGAAGTTTTCCGAAGCAGTTTCCTACTTGCCATTCACGATCAAGCAATGCCAACCAAAATCTACCCTAAATATATCATCAAAGACCCTCAGGTTTAAACCGACAAATACTGATATGGATTTCAAGCCCAAGAAATATCCAGCATCTTCCAGACGGTTGCCAGAACTAATCAACAAATTTGTACGACTAGAAAAGACTTTACTGTAGCTTAGGGATATTCAGAGCAGTGTATGCTTCAGGAGAACAATGCTTTTTCAGTATCTGTAATTTAAAATTTGAACATACCACAGATGTTATTTTCTATTATCAGACATATCTAGGTACCTAAACTCAAAGACAATATGTCTTAGATTTATAAAAGTTTGGCAAAAGAAAGCTAAGGGTATTCGGCAAGGAGACACTATCTCTCCTAAACTATTTACTGCTTTATTACACAGTTATACGAGAAACAGTAATTGGGAAAATATTGGAGTCGATATAAATGGAGAGTTTCTGAACTAATTGAGGCTTACAGACATAGTTCTTATTGCAGACTAGGCAGATCATAACTGCCAACGTTTTCAAGATCTTTGGAATACTATATCACCATATTGGTGACTATATGTCACGAAAGTTACATATAACTCAGGATATAAAGCACATAGAGTCTTGAAACTTACTTTATAGTTAGTTGGGAAAATTAAATTTAGCAAATTTGGTATCTAAAGGTACAAAATTTGCAAAAATACTGGTCCGATCGTCGAATTACATCATGTTTACAGTGTTATATGATATTGTTAGGCAATCTGGATTACTCGCGAGGGCATCGCTGGCTGCCTAAGGTGTAGAGACATTGATTATGGTCATATGATATTAATAACATGTGTTTTTAATGTATCTTAAAATAAAACATAATAAAAATGCTATTGTAGAATTTAAAAATGTTCGAAATATTAAACTAACATATATACGTGTAAATTACTAGTATTCTGTAGGTTGAAACAAGTTCATTCCAGCTCTGAAGTCCTTCGATACCCACTCCGTTTTATCTTATCGGTCTATTTAAATGCTATAGATTTACCTTCTACTATAGATTTAAAAAACTATAGATATATTTATTTATTTATTTAGATGAAGAAAATATTGCAAAAAACTCAACTTACCATCGAAATCTACGGTTCCAGAACCGTCTGTGTCGATTTCTTCGATCATCATGTCTAATTCCTTGTCTGTGAGCTGGTCATCTAATTCTCTTAAGATTTCTTTAAGGCAGGTGGTTGGGATGTAGCCATTTCCTAAAAAAAGATATAACAGGTATGTAATAATGGTAAAGTCAGAGGATGGAGTAGTCTTTATAAATTTTGTAATTATCAAAACTTTTAATAAAAGTTTAAAATAAACAATAATAATGAGGTTTTGCAGATGAGAGTCCCCTTGTTTTGATTGTATTTACAATTTTTAATTCTTTGTTTATCCTCCTTAGAACCTTGTTGTCATCGCCGTTTAAGGTCAAAGCTTCCATTTCACAAAACAAAGTCTCGAAAATGTAGCACCTCGCCAACCTAACTGTTAGCTGCATCTGTTTCACCCTCAAGAGATTTTAGGATCTCATCTGAGTCGGCATTAAAAATTACGGTGATAATAAACATCCCTGGATCACCCCACGTCCACCATCAACCTTCAGAAAATTGAATTCAGAGAAACCACTGCTCACTCAGATATCATTTTTGTAAAATAGGGAAAATAAACTGAACAATGTACTGATTCTGGGAAAATGCAGATGCATGTAACTGCACAGCAATTGGTCATCAACGTGATAAATACATGGAAGCTACAGGATATCTCATCAGGTAGTAGTGTTTATGGGATTAAAAGATCCTTTTAAAATCAACAACCAAACTCAACAATAAAACTAAACGTACAAGAACTACTAGTAAAGTATTTATATTTTTGCATCCCACTCGTGCAATTCTGGATAGACACGGGAATACTATAATACATACGGACGAGAAAGTACAAAGATGGGCGGACGAATTGTTCATTGGACGAAATGTTTCTGAAACTAGACGATGTAACTAGGCGTAATGTTGTATATAAACCATCAAACACATAATAATGTCGCTACATCTTAACGAAGTAATTAATTAAGTTGAAAAGAGATGAATAAAAAATAAAATCCAAAAGTTCTTATCCTTCTGACTGACTTAGGTCCATTTACTTTCTACATACTCCAATTCAAAATTAGCAACAACGTTATTGTAGGTTAAGTCTCTCATGATTAATTTAAGAAGAAGAATTTATTTTTATATCGCGGGAATTAATAATTCTTGACAACTCATTTTTTATCCTATTTTTATAACCCAGCTACATAAATCTAATATATAATTTATTGGATCGTCTTGAAAAGTAAAAGTCTTGGCTATTGACCAAAATTTACTATCAGAGGTGTATAGAATCAGTAATTAATGTGCAGACGATCCAGATGATGGGACCTGAATAATATATTCAACGTGTAAACAAATCTGGCCCCAGCAGATGTTCGCTCGTTTGGATTTTTTCCTGGAGTTGACTTTAAAAATAAAACTATCGCGAAGACAGCGAGGCGCTCTATTTTTTCGATAAATAGAAAAACTTATTAAAATAAATTACAAAACTCAAAGGAAAATAACAAAAAATGGTTATAAAGAGATAAAAGTAAGTACTGAGTGACATTTAAAAGTTCTTAGAATAAAATAAATATAGATTGTTTTTGGAGAACTAAAACGTGATAAAAAAATGAAAAGTAATAAATATTTATGTGGAGATCAAAATATATAAATAATACAAAAATATTTACCTTCTTTATCATATAACCTGAAGGCTTCTTTAAGTTCTTTTTGCATAGCTTCATCATCTTCTTCAACGATGAATTTGGCAGCCAATGTAACGAATTCTTCGAATTCCAGACGACCGGATTCTGGAAAAATAAAAGAAAATCAATAAATTCTGTGAAATGTATTTTTCTATAAAAGTGCTCATAATAAAGTACAGCTGGTTTCAAATAAAGTGGCTAAAATTTCTTGGAATAGCCTAACTCAGCGCAGCAGTGACACTAAAAAAAATATTTACGATTTACAATAGGTCAAATTGTTGAAAACTCTATATTCTTTAGGATGTACCTTTTTCGGAATTGTTAGAAAAGCTGATTTTAACTAATCAGTTGGAATTTTGCTTGCTTAATATTCTATTAAGCAAATTCTTGAGATGTTTAGGGTCTAGTTTAGGTTTAGATTCGTGAGACATTATCATGATCCTAATTCTTTGAATTATTTATTGCTCTCAGAGGTTGTTGAACCTCAGATTCAAGAATTTCTGGGTCAGACCATTTTTCCCAGTTGACAGCTTGTCTAGCATCCCTCTTGGCTTCAAATAGCAATTAAACATGTATGTTTCTTATACTTGTATTGCCATAACTCTACTGGATTCAAGAGTAATTATCCATCTTGTTTCAAGGATATTGTAGGTGTTGTCTTTGCAATACCAGTAATTTCTTTAATTTTTCTATGAAAGTTTACATCGTCTTGCAGAGAGCTGACATTCATAATGCAATAGAGTCAAACTTCGATTTAACATCAGATCATAGCACAATAATAATAACAATAAGTACACACATAATATGGAGAACACCACAACCCAAACTCAAAACTAAAGAAAAAAACTGGGATGTTTTCCAAAATTCTGTAAATATAAAGATTAGACTAGAATTGGGATAAAAGAAAATCAAGATGTAGAGAAAGCAGTACACTATTTATCAACAGTTTTCCAAGCAACAGGAAGAGAAGCAACACCACAGTGCAAAAGAAGTGTGCAAGAAAACCATAATATCCCCCTTCATACAATACATTTACAATACAGCAATACATTTCTGCTACAAGAGACCTTGCAGAAAAAAGAAGAGCTTGTCGCATATGACAACAAATGATAAATGCACTAAATAAAACGTACCGTAACAGAATAAAGTCCTGTTAAGGATAAGTTACTACTAAATATAGCATTACATGAAGAAAAAAACGACTCTTCCAGTTTTATGTTTCGAACCTCTCACATGAAGACCACTCTATATGGAAAGCTACAAAAATATCTTATACTTTCTAATATATATATATATATATATATATATATATATATATAAATATATATCTAAAAAATATATTATCTTTTACTTATCCACGACCCCAGCTCTCCTACCAAACCCTGAGTGCCGTTCGCACAAGTAGCGATTATTTTGCTTGCCTTATCTCCACCCCCAATAGTTTCTTCCCTCAATTTTCTACCCCCTGTATTAATGAACCCTTTGGTAGGCAAGATATGTCCGTTACAAACTGGTTCTACCTAGTGTAGCATATCCATCTTTTTCTTGGTAATATTTATAAAGCTTTTCTTCTGCATCTGTAACACGTGATCTAGCCATCTCACTCTCTGTGCCCTTATTTTCTGCGGTATTTTGTATCTTCCAAAATTATATGTTGGATATTTTATTCTATCTATATCCCTATTCCTCTATATTTAAATGATAAAAAAAAATTGAAAAAACCTCATATTCATTCAAATTTCTAAATTATTTGTTGTTTTTAATATCTGTATCTGAAGTAGTGGATAAAGTAGTTTCTTAGTGGATAAAATAATATTGTAGATACACCTGAAAATACTCTATTTTTCGTAAACAACGTAAAACTCGAACGCATTTGATGTTTAAATCATTCCTGATCATTTTTTTAACCGTGTTTGAAATATCCACCAGTTCAAGCATCTATACATTCTAAACAACACGAACAGTTTATTATTCCAACTCAAGCAAAACTATCAGCTCCAATTTGTTTCAAGACTTCTTATTTTAAAATAAGCGTTCGGAAAACCCAAAATAACTCTTCTTTATAAAAAAATACCTAACGGCAACATTTTGTACGTGTCAGCATTTGAACGAATCCATTAATCCGGCAAAATTGTTGGCACTTGTTCAACGCTAAATATCCCATTATGTCAAGTTCGATTGTGCTGAAAAAATCAATCTCACGCTCAATGTTTACTGAAGTTAATTCAAATATTTTATTCTTTGTTTTTTCTTAAACTCAAATATTTGGAAAGCGGTGGAAAATTCGATTTTGACAAAGAATATTGTTGACTGATGAATTTTTTTACATACATAACCGTTCATGTTTTACTCTTATGAATCAAGGGAAGGACGACTAGCTTTTGATGAATTTTCTTCATTTTGTTCTGTTCTTCGCCAATTGTGTTGTTTTTTGTCAAGATTTACCCTTATTTTGTTATATCTGCGATGTGGCTATTCCATTCTTTTAATGGTCTGTCTTTCAGACAGAAACAGGAACATTTTGCCATTTTTTTTTATTTTTCAGGCTAAGTCCAAAAAAAAAATTAGCATTTTTAGCGACCCTTTTACCTTTAGCGAATGTAAGCAAATACCCTGATCTTTGATGGTGTACATTCTTAGTGCACTTTCAATTATTTAGATATTTTATGTCGCATATTTAACAAATATACTTACTATCAGCATCTACTTCTTCAATGAGTTCTTCTAAGATTTTCTTGTCGAAGGGTTGACCCATAAGACGGAGGATATCGGCTACCATATCACATGGAATGCTTCCTGATTTTTGACTGTCGAAAGCTTCAAAAGCTTTGCGGAGTACTGTGAAAGATAAGAGAATGGTAAGATAATTTATAAAATTACATAGAAAAGGTAAAAAATTTGGTTACATGTAATGTTTCATCTTTCCTTTATTTTATAAAATTTTCTATTGAGTTTTAGTTAATTTTATATTTGAATTTTTACATTGTCTTTAACACCTAAATGTTGGTAATTATTTTAAATTTTACTAATTGCAAGTATAATCTTGTTGCAAATAACTTAAACTTTGACGAAGGTGTTTTTCTGTACTTAAGTAACGTTGTTTTCCCGTGTACTGGATAATTTTAAATGAGCATACATATATTATATATACCTTGGAGCAGGTGTTAGTTTTTTTTGTGTTTTTCTTAGATTTATTGTTTTTAAAACATTCAGTTTTTTACATTTTGCATAGATTTATATGATTCCGTAAGACTCTTATACTATTAAAAAAATCAGTTCTGAGTTCATGTTCTATTCTGTTCTATTCTGTCTTTGTACCAATCCTATTCTAGTAAATGCGAAATGTAGGAAGAACTGCAATAATATTTTTTTGATACAAGATTGCCAATAAAGGAATATAATCCAGACTTACTCTTTTTAAGAACTTTTTTTGACAATAATGCTTAATCCAGCCAGCAGAAAATGTATAATAACGTTCACCTAACTTAACCTATTCTAACTACTCGAACTACACTACTATTCTGAAAATTAAAAAAAGAACTACGATAGGAGGGGAACTAGGATTACTTTTCACACCTAGAGGTCATTCAAGGTGACTGACAGATGGAAAGGGTAGTACACGGAAAGGATAACTAAAAAGGTAAAATATTTGGCGATTCAACAGAGGTAACGATCTTAACACCTACACTTAACTCACACATTTTAATAAACTTAAGAATAATTTTATACACCTTATACATATTTAATATTAGCAAATGAAGAAAATTGAAAGGGTCTCAATCATTGATTGATTCCAGATGTTCAATATATTATGGCTAATGGAAAAAAGTGCAAAATATGTACCAGGACAACAAAAAAACATCAAACCAAGGAACCTAATGGAATAACGAAATAGAAGAGCTAATTTCAACAAAAATGAAGCTTTATCAAAAATGGCTACGTACTAAAACTGAAGAAGATTGGATAGAATAAAGCATGCAGTGCGAACCACATTACAGAAGAAAAAAAAACGATTTATGGGACCGCAAATATATGGTGCACAAAGGTATGACGATTTATAAATTTCCTGAAAAAAAAATGCAAAGGGAAGATATTTATGAACTGTGTAAAATCACAAATATGGATGGAACGCTACAGAAACTTATTGACAAAAGAATGAACAGAATATCGGGAAAATAATATAATATCAGGTTTAGAAATAGAAGGGAGGCCTGTAAATATTGATGTAGAAACTTTGAAAAAAGTGGTGTGGAGTTTAAAGAATGTAAAGTTTGTTGTCCAAAAGGTATCCAGGTACAATTGAATAAAAACTGAACATCTATATTTTTTCAGATATCAACAAAAGTCTTTGGACCATCCCTGAATGGATACCCTGTTCCAGGAATATGGAAAATGGAGAATATTTGATCCATTCGCAAGTAAATAGACAAGAGAAATACTCAAAATTACAGATAAATTTCAGTAACCAGCACGAAATTTATTAGAAATAGGGAATGGTTTCACTTTGAACGCCCTCTTTAGAGCAGCAGTCAACAAAATATAAATAGTCATGATGGTGCCATCCTATGCAATAAGTGAGCATTAAAAAAGAAGAGAAGGCAAGCAGTCATATACGGAAACGAAACGAGGACTCTTTTAAGCACTCATTAAAATCAATTAAGAGTTTGAGCAAAAAAGATTAATATATTTAAATAATTCCATTGTAATTCCATATAAATAGTGGAGAATTAAAATTAAACATCAGTTTAACGAATTAATGTAGAGCGTGGATATTATAAGATTTGTATAGGAACAAAACTAAACTCCCCAAGGAAGAAGATCCAGCGCAAAGTTCCGCATTAAAGATAGATGGATGATATAGCCGTGGATCTAAAAGGCATGAACATTGGAAAAGGAAAATAGCTGACAAATTAGAATGGAACAATATTACTCTTCTTCTTTTGGCATCATAACCCTGGATGGGTCTTTGCCTGTCTGGCTATGTCCTTCCATTCAGATCTCTTTTGTGCCCTTCTTCTCCATTGTCTTATGTTCATTGTTTTTAGGTCGTCTTTGACTTTTCATAAATCTTACAATGTCATAACCTTCATTTAACTCATTAACCCCGTCGTTTCTCCTGATTCTCCATGTGCCATCTTCCTCTTGTACCGGGCCATATACCTTCTTCTCCATTGTCTTATGTTCATTGTTTTCAGGTCGTCTTTGACTTTTCATAAATCTTACAATGTCATAACCTTCATTTAACTCATTAACCTCGTCGTTTCTCCTGACTCTCCATGTGCCATCTTCCTCTTGTACCGGGCCATATACTTTCCTCAGTATTTTTCTCTCGAATATCCTGAGTTGGGCTTCATCTTTTTTCGTCATTACCCAAGCTTCACATCCATAGGTTACTACGGGTCTAATCAGTGTTCTGTAGATAGTCATTTTGGTTCTTTGGAACAATATTATTAAGCAGACCAAAATCCAGAAAAGGTTTTAGCTCAAAAAGAAGAAAAATTAGGTTCAGTCAAAAAATCCTGTAGTAACAAGGTTCTTTATGAAACAAAAGCATAGTTACTGGAAGAACTTGTACAGTGTATCTTCTCTGGTATACATGCGTGTGAGATGCGTTACAAAATAGTTTTAGAGTACGATAAATCAATAAAAATAAGTCTCTATATCTATTTTGGATACACTTTAATGTGTGTACTTTTTATTCTTGACTGTTAAGCCGAATGGATAATAATTTACTATGTTTTATATTTTTTGTTGCTGTATTAAAAGTGACTGCTGAAGGCGTTTAAAAGCATTCTAACTTTACGCATTTTCTGGAAACTCTCGTAAAACTTCAATTTATTAGAGAATTAATGTGTTCAAATGACGCAAGAGTAATAATTTTGAAAACTCCATGCCCTAATTACGCCATTGCTCCAGTTGATGTATTCTGATGAATATGTTTTGCACTTGTGGATTTTTCATTTTTTGATATAATCGGCCGGCGATTCAGTTCATCGCTGTGCCGTGATGACTGCGTCGTATATCCTTCCTGGTAATTATAGAATGAAAAATAAAATACAACGCGCGGAAAAGCGGTAGCAATGTGTTCATGTGGGAGAAACACGGAGCCCAATACCGGTCGTTGGTTTGGTTCCGTTTTGAATTCATTCATTTAAAATAGAAATATTTTAATAATATAATATTGTATGAATTGTATAAATAATTGTATAAATAATAATAATTATACAGGGTGAAGCAATAATTGTGAAACTTTGGCTTAAATGGCAAATTTAATGAGGTTTTTGTTGAACTACAAATTTGTTAAAAATGTCAATTAAGTAAATGTTCAAAGTGGGTTCCGTTGTTTTGTAAACAATAATACAGCCTATTTTAAAATTCTGCACGAACTTTGGCAAATGTTGTTCTAGTAATAGCGCGACATGCTTGCGTAATTCTTTTTCGCAATTTCCCAAGTGATACAGATTGAGTTTTGTAAACAACTGACTTGAGCTATCCGCATAGAAAATTATCAGGTGGTAGTAAGTCTGGTCACCTCGGTGGCCACTTGATAGGACCTCTCCTTCCAATCCATTTATTCGAATAATTAGTATCCAACCAGTGCCTAACTGGAGCTGCATAGTGAGGAGGTGCTCCATCTTGTTGGAAGTGCAGCAAATCTTTCTCTAGAGTTAGGTTGCCTTGATCAGTCCCTTTGGTTCTCTAATTAATGCACAATTAGAGGTTCGATGGTGTTTACCAGCATATTGAGATAAATATCGCCACTTAAATTGCCTGGTATGAACAAGGTGCCAATTATACTACTACTACTATCGGTTTACAGCGTTCTCCGACGCCGTCCGACTCCCAACCGCCATTCTTCTCTATTCAACCATAGGTCTGAAGGGATTTCTCTTTCCTCTAGTTCTTTTTCAATTCTCTCTCTCCAGCTTCTTCTCGGTCTTCCTCTTTTCCTTCTCCCTTGTAGTGTCCACGTCAAAATCTGTTTTGGAATTCTGTCATCTGGCATTCTCTGTACATGGCCGTACCGTTTCTTGCGACCCATTGCTAGTGAAACGAGGAGCTGGGATAGTAAGAGGAATAAGGTTCTTAGCAGATTTGACCTTACCTCTGAGAGGTGACCAGGCGGAATTTCTGGTGGTTGCAAATCTTTTTAAACCTGGCTTACTTATTTTGAATAAGATGATGATCTTGAGATTCACTGTGTCAATACACATTGTTCAGTATGGCAGTAAAAGGAACAGTAAAGGCCAGCGGAATTAAAGGAACTATTGTCCACTCCTCAACATAAATAGTAGCATATGCAGATGACATAGATCTTATGGGAAGAGACAAGGAAAGATTAAAACAGGCACTGACAATCCTGGCACATGAAGCAGAGAAAAGAGGTCTAGAAATTAATGAAGGAAAAACAAAATATCTACTCTGCTCTAGAAGAGATGATAACAAGACGAGAGAAATCAAGATAGAAAACTACACTTTTGAAAAAGTTCAATAATTTAAATATTTGGGATTAAATATCCCAAATAAAATTATTTGGGAATTGCAGTTAGATCAGTAGTTACATACGCAGCTTCATGTTCTTCACAGATTAAGATAAAGAAAAATTAAGAGTATTCGAAAGAAAATCCTCAGAAGAATTATGAGACCAATAAGTGAGAATATATAAATCCACAAGGAATCTACGTTCCTGTAGTTGGCTGTATACCATATATTAAAAAATTTATTAAAAATCCTTTGTAAAAGGTATATATTAAGACCCAAATGGGCTAAGTTAAAAAGACAAAACGTTTTCGGAATCCATATTCCATCATCAGTGTCTAAGAGTACATGAATGTAGCCACTAAATAATAATATATAGGTAAAAACCCGTTAACAAATAATTAATTACATTTAGTTTACAAATTTTCCTATAATGGTTTAAGATGTTAAAGTTACCGTTGGATTAGGTAACGTGGCGACATATGACTCCACAGTGTGTCTACGAAGACTGTATGGGAGCAACTGATACTTAATATATACCTTTTACAAAGGATTTTTAATAAATTTTTTTGAGAATATATAGTTGGGAAATGACTGGGGTACATAAAGAGACGGAAAAAACCACCTACTGATTAAGAAGGGCACCAGATGGAAGCCAGGAACTAACAGACCAAGGGGAAGATCCAGAGAGAGATGAGAGGACCAGGACAATCTTGAGAGATATCAAAATCCTGAAAGTGAGAAACTGGACGGAACTATGTCGAGATCGAAATGAGTAGAAGAAAATAATTGTAACGACAGCCAAGTCATACAACAAATTCTGACAATACACAAAAACAATGCGAAGGGATTCACTGCAATAAGCGAATATACTAGCTCTGAGAAAGAGCAAACATTTCATCAGGAATTGATGTTGATCCTTGCTAATGATGATGATCTTGAGATTGAACGATGGATAAGTTTTTGAGGATTCATACGTTCTACGATTCATAAAATATCATTCCGCGTGTTCTCTTGTTGGTAGCAATTCTTCCAAGTGTCTATATAACGCATAATTGTGCCTTTCGCAGAATTCTTCATTTTCTTTGAAGATTTTTCCCAAAATTTTCCTCTTTTAAGTTGGCCCTTTCTTTGCCATATTTATACATTCGGATCCATATATGGCTGATGGTCTGATCACTATATCATAGTGACAGAGTTTTAAGTTTAAATATGAGCTTTTGGCTTTTGTACAGGTCTTTACACCGATGAAATGCACTTTCTAATTTGGACATCTGCTTTCAATGGCAACATTCTCTGAACCATCAGGTGTAATAAACCCTCCAACGCATTAAACTTTTTTGACTGGATTACATTTCTATTATCTTTTCAGTATTAAAGGTTAAAAGGCCTTTAAACAAGTTTATGGTCCTTCGAACACGTTGATTTTAGTATAAACAACTGTAGAAATGTAAACTGCTGCAATTACTAAGTAACTACTAAGTTAAACTAGTAAATAAACATGTCTTAGTTCACATGATTAATTAATTTATCTTATAAAATCTTCATAATACACCTTTCATTGCTGGCCTTATTCCAATTTATAAAGCGGCTGTAGAGGCATCAAAGCAAGACATTTTTATGCGTGACATCTCCTACAAGCGGTTGATGGTTGTTGTCGAGCCAAAAAATAGTTGAATCGCCCGTCTGTTGCCAACAGAGTTTTCTCATTTCGCAACTTAATGCCCGACCGCTGAGAAGCGATTATAAATTTCCAGAATTTGTTCCGAATGTAAACATTCTATTTCTATAACGAAAATATACATTAAACTGAGTTGTTGTGTTTTCGTCGGTCGTATCGAATTCGTGTTGGTTTGTATCATTGTTTTGCAATAGCTTTTTATAGAGAAACCAGCTATAAAATGATTGTAAAATCGATATGAATAAAGCTCAGATATTTATATGTGTAATGAAGTATGTATTAATTTAATACCGCTAGTCAAAAGATATCAAAGAAAAATCTTCCTTATGTAAATTACTAGAAACATTTTTAAATAGACGGTTACAATTCTTTTTAGAATAAAAGATCTAATAGTTGTGACAATAAAACACTGAAAAGTTTGTTTTCAAACTTCCACAAAATTTATTTGAACTCTTATCACTACAGCTGTTTCGGCTGATTGCCTTTCTCAAGTGATCTATTTTTGGCTTGCGTTTACACTTTATATTCTCTAATGAAATAGGTTGAGGAGGGGAGAACTGTTTGTCTCAAGTTGGTCATTCAGAATTATATCTGTGTTTTTTAATTTGTTGATTTCCATAGATTCTAACAAAGATAGCTTAAGGCCTTTATTTTGAATGTAAAGAATTTTAAATTTGTCATTAAAAGAATGATTATGATCTAGAAGGTGAAGTGCGTATGTAGAATCTGTTTTTCTATTATTGAAAGCCCTTTTATGTTCTGCTATTCGTTTATTAAAGTTTCTACCAGTTTGACCGATGTAAGTTTTTGGGCAGTCGCCACCACTGTGTAAGTGCTTTTTATTTTGGCTCTTATTGTTTTTAATATATATCCCTAGGTTGTTATTTGTTCGGAAAGCTGGTGTTATTCTTTCTTTTTTATGTGTTTGGCTATTTTTGTTGATATTTTGCCTGTATATGTAATCGAGCAGAAGGTACTGGATTTTTTCTCTGGTGGTGGAAATACTAATTTCAGGGCTTTCTTGTGTAGTTTTTGATTTAACATTTTATTAATTGTTTGTTCGTTGTAACCGTTGTTTACTGCTATTTGCTTAATGATATTTAATTCTGTCTCAAAGTTGTATTTTGACATCGGAATGTTTGTTAATCTATGTAATATACTATGATATGCTGCCCGTTTATGTTGTGTTGAATGGGATGATGAATTGTGTAATGTGTATAATCGTGTCAGTATGGGTAGGTTTATGAAATATGGAGAAGTCATGTTTGTTTTTAAGTCTGATAATTTTTAAATCTAAAAAATTTATGGATTGATTTTGTTCTGTTTCTATTGTAAATTCAATATGACTATGAAGTGAATTAATATACGATAAAAATTGGTCGAGTTGCCTGTTAGTTCCTGTGAAACATACCAGTACGTCGTCTACGTATCTCCACCAATATAAAAACTGTTTAAATACGGGATGTTTTGAAATTATTGTCTCTAGATGATCCATAAAAATATCTGATAGCAATGGGCTTAGAGGCTTGCCCATTATAAGTCCTGCACTGTTATTTGTATATACCTATTTGATGTTAAATCAAAAACTACACAAGAAATATGAATATAAGAACGGAATAACACCAGTATTCCGAACAAATACATCTACCTACCAAACAACCTAGTTATATATATTAAAAACAACAAGAGCCAAAATAAAAAACACTTACATAGTGGTGTGTACAAACTTAAATGTGGCGACTGCCCAAAAAAGAAAAAATCCAGTACCCTCTGCTCGATTACATATACAGGCAAAATATCAACAAAAATAGCCAAACACATAAAAAAGAAAAGAATAACACCAGCTTTCCGAACAAATAACAACCTAGGGATATATATTAAAAACAATAAGAGCCAAAATAAAAAGCACTTACACAGTGGTGGCGACTGCCCAAAAACTTACATCGGTCAAACTGGTAGAAACTTTAATAAACGAATAGCAGAACATAGAAGGTCTTTCAATAATAGAAAAACGGATTCTACATAAGCACTTCATCTTCTAGATCGTAATTATTTTTTTTAATGACAAATTTAATTAATGTGTGAATTAACGATACTGATTTGGCTCTCATTCAAAAGTAAGAGTTGAATGACTCCTTTATAAGATAATGCTACTGTCTTATCCTCGTTAAAGCTAAGTAAGTTTTAGTCTGACCAAGCCTTGATTATAAGCAAATCAGCGGTTATAATTGAATGAAGCGTTGAAATATTAGAGTTGCTTCAAGTAATACTGGTATCATCAGCAAATAGGAAAATTTTCCCTTTAATTTTCAAGTAAGTGATGTCATTAATGAAAAGTAAAAAAAGAATGGGATCTAACACTGAACCTTGCGTCACTCCACACTCAATATCTTTACAACTAGAGTCGGTGTCTTTTATTCTAACCAATTGTTTCCTACCTACCAAGTAAGTTTTGAACCAATTCAAAGACACATCCCGAATTCCATAGAAAGTTCATTTTTTTAATAGAATGTAGTGATTATCATAAACAACTACATATTGTGTGGATACCATCTCATGTGGGGATACCAGGAGATGATATAGCTGATCATGATCAAATGGCCAAAGAAGCTTGTAAAATGGAGAGATGCGATAATAGAAATTCCTCACTCAGATATGAAAAAATGCATCAATGAGTACACAAAAAACTTATGGTTATGAAGATAGCAACTCTAACAAATAATAAATTGCGGCAAGCAAACTCAGATCTCTAAGCGAAAACACCAATTATTTACTACATCGTATCCGAATAGGACGTACCAGACTGACGCACGAACACCTACTCTACTAAGAAAGGAACCTCCTAATAGAATATGCTACGCTTGTGACACCAATATAACTGTAGGCCACATTGTTATAGACTGTCCATTATATCAAATGGAAAGAGAAGCTACTGGACTACCAAGTGATATAAAGTGCGCTTTAGACAGTGCGGATTGTGACAAAATCATTAGGTTTTTAAAGAAAACGAAATTGTATAATGAAATATAAGTGATACTTCAAGAAATAATCTAAATTATAATCAACTTTGTAAAAACTTTATAGTTTATATTTTATATTAATCATTATAACATTATAGTCTATATTGTACCAAAGCTAATAACCTTCTGTGGTTGATGCAGTTTATTCGCAATAAAAAAATATCAAAGAAAAATTATCGAAATACTTGTCAAAACATGAAGTATTTTGTGCTCATATCATTATTTTTAATCATCAGTTCAAAGTGTTGGCTACACGACTATCATTAAAGTTGTTAATAGGTTGACTGACAGTAAAAAATCATCGGATCATTGTACGATCTTTAAAATACGATACACTATTTATTTTTATACATTTAAATATTTAGAAATCTCAGATAGAAATTAAGTAAGAACATTATATTTCAAAAAACTTATTTTTGAAACTTACCGGCGATTTGTTCTGGTGGGAGTTCATCCTGAAAAATAAAAACAGAGAAATAATTTTTTTAATTAATGAATAAAAAATAATGGAATATTGTGCGAAACAGGACTGTTATACAATCTATGCTGAAAGACAGTCTCAGGGAGAACTGTTTTCAAATTGTTTCTGTTTTTGTTATCTTAAAGTATATTCAAATACGGTACTGTGTGAATTAATGAGAACATTGATTAGTTGTAGACGAAGAAAAAAGAGAAAAGAATATAATTTTTTATATTCCTTTTTATACAGAGTGATCCTTAAGTAGTTGTACAAAAATAAACCGCAGATTATATACTTTAAAATATTACTATTTAAGCCAACTTGCTTTAATAAAATGTTAATATTAAAAAAGATACAGGGTGTTAAAGTGGAAATTTAAAATTTTATTTTTCGCTATAACTTTCATGTTTGTAAACATTTATGTATAAAAATTTACAGCTGAGTACTATTTAATATCAGGAATTATAATTTGATGCATACTTTAATATAGCTAATAGAGGGCGCCACATATGCCACATACGTGGCATAAATTTGCACTTAACTTTTTTGTTCTTCAAGTTACCGGTATTTTTGATAAAAAATATTAAAGATACATTATTTTAACAAAAAAAAAAGTATACTTGTTAATAACTTCAAAACTCAACAGTTTTCGAGATAATCGCATTTTACAAATCAACGCATAATTCTGATTTAACGCAATTACTCCAGGCAATGAAAGAAAAATAGATAAAAACATCAATACTTCAGAATTTTGTTATAAAATACCTTTAATAAAGTCAATAGTTAACGAAATATTAAATAAAATAAATATATCATCAGGATAATTAATAATAGGATTTGATAAAATAACAGAATAAATGGATTTTACATCAAACATTTTACGTTTTGTATTAAATTAAAGTCATAATCAAAACATTTTATTTACAACCCAAATTAAAAAATAGTAAAACTAAATAACATTAATTTTTTGTCAAAGTAAGTGTTCGATATGTCCACCATTTTCTTTAATTCATTTGTCAATTCATTTGTCAATGACGCTATTTAATATGAGACGATATTTTATGGAATGTATTGACAAATGAATTAAAGAAAATGGTGGACATATTAAACACTTACTTTGACAAAAAGTTTAATGTTATTTAGCTTTAACTACTTCTTAATTTGGTTTGTAAATAAAATGTTTTGATTATGATTTTAATTTAATACAAAACGTAAAATGTTTTATGTAAAATCCAATTATTCAGTTATTTATCAAATCCTATTATTTTAGCCTGCTGATATATTTATTTTATTTAATAATTCATTAACTATTAACTATATTAAAAGAATTTTATACAAAATTTCAGAAGTATTGATGTTTTTCGTTAATTTTCTTTTGTTGCCTGGAGTAATTGCGATAAATCAGAATTATGTAGTTGATTTCTAAAATGCGATTATCTCAAAAACTGTTGAGTTTTAAAGATATTAACAAGTATACCTTTTTTTTTGTTAAAATAATGTATTTTTAATATTTTTTATTAAAAATACCGGTAACTTGAAGAGCAAAAAAGTTACGTGCAAATGTATGCCACATATGTGGCATATGTGGCGCCCTCTATCAGTTACATCAAAGTATACATCAAATTATAATTTCTGATATTTAATAGTACCCAGTTGTCAATCTTTATACATAAATATTGGCCAACATAAAAGTTATAGCAAAAAATAAAATTTTAAATTTTTACTTTAACACCCTGTATCTTTCTTAATATCAACATTTTATTCAAGCAACTTGACTTAAATCGCAATATTTTAACGTGCAGAATCTACGGTTTCTTTTTGTACAATTACTTAAGGACCACCCTGTATAATTTTATATTTTATATATATTTTATAAAATTTATTATATAAGATTTTCCATTTAATTACCAAATTTTTTTGACAGTTTTCTGATATTTATGGCATTAAAACAATATAATATCAATTTCAGTCACCATCAGTTTTATATTTTTAATACAATCTATTTTACGAAGTATGGCTTAAATATTATTCCACAGATTTTTATTCGGATTAAGATCCGGTCAGTTTGCTGACCGTTGCTATACCTTGGTGTATGTGTTGGTCCTTGAAATCATGACTTGATTTCTCTGGATCCAGTTCCATGGCAGATACCCTCATGGGGAACTGAATCTTGTTAGGAATCATCTTGACCGTTGGTATTAAATATTCTGAGTTAAAAGCAATCTACTGTCTAGTAATGCTTAATATTTTTGAGCGTTTGTCAAGGCTTCTATCGGCATTATCTTGATTTAAAAAACAGCCCCAGAATACCTCCTTTAACGAATATTTGGTTGCTTGATCCGAATGAGCTACCGTTAGTTTTTGTTGTTACCTACTTTAACAAAAATAGATCTTGTCCTTATACCAAGAACTCGCTATAATCTATAATCTCTTTCAACCTTTGACAGATAGTCCAGCTCAGATTCTTCTTCTTCTTAATGTGTCTTCTCCATTACTGAAGATTGGCTATAATTACAGCAAATTTCTCTCTATCCTGAGCTGTTCTTAGTATCGAATGTATGTCAATGCCTGTCCAGTCTCTTACATTCTTCAACCAGGAGCATTTTCTTCTTCCTGGACTCTTCTTCCTTCCACTTTGCCTTTCATTATAAGTCCTAGGAAGTTGTATTCTTCTCCTTTGTAAATATGTCCTACATAACTCGTTTTTCTGTTTTTTACAATATTTAGGAGTTTTCTCTCAGTACCCATTCTTCTTAACACCTCGTTGTTGGTCACGTGCTCTGTCCAAGATTCCAGCTCAGATACTTTTTGTCAAACTATATCATTACTTCGTTCGAAGTTGGACTATACGACTTTGGTGTTTGCAAGGGCAGAGCTTATCGTCTTATATGATTCTGCCAAGAACATAACTTAAGAGTACTTAAATAAAACCTTTCATAATCTGTCTAAAAGATGACTTTATACATAAAGGTCACCAGAGAGTATGTATATCAAGAAAATCGACCTTTGTAGCAATTCCCAAAAAGTCAAGTGCAACAACCTGCTCAGATCACAGAACAATAGCTTTAATGAGTCAGAAAATATAAAATTAGTGGAACCCAATTTGGGTTTAGAAATGGTATCAGATCAAGAGGAGCCCGCTAGGGTTATACAAAGAGTGTCAAATTTGAAAGTAGCTAGAAGAATATGAAATGAAGCAAGAATAATATTAACTACAAAAAACGAAAACTAGATTATTTAGGATGTGATGACAGAACAAAAATACTATTATTACAACTCATTATGCAAGGAAAAATTTGAGGAAAGCAAAATGTGGGAAGCCGGATTTAAGAACCTGTGGGAATGGTTTGAATGTAATAGTGCTCAACAGGGTCCGCATACCCATAATGATTTTCAACCTTAAATACATGAAACTTAAAAAATAAGAAGTCAGGGTATATGGGAGCTAATATATTTAAGTGCCAGAAAGACGCCTTCATATATATACAAATCACCAGAGCTTAAGTATACCAACAAAGTCAGGAATCTGATACCCATATCAGGGTACCCAGATTTTCTTGACACAACCACACGGCACAACAACTGAAACAAGACATCAATTAAAATATATAAATATATAAAGATGTAGTCAGAAAATCAGAAAAAAATGGAATGACCACATAAGCAGAATGGGGGAGACCAGTCTGGTCAAAATGGCAAGAGATAATTGGCAATTGGTAGAAGAAGAATTGCACGACCGCGCTAAAGATGAAGTAACAACCTTCCATAGAGGTATCAATTCACCAATAAACAATCAGAATTGCTTATGAAGATAAAAGAGAAGAAGTAGAAGCAGTTTTTGAAAAATAAACTTTGATACTGATGCACAGATCCTCAAGAAAGATTTGTGACTTAAAAAGCCAAGAAACATAATGCTAGATGTAAATATATGAGATCATGTTTCACACAAACAACTATGAAAAAGGTTAGAAGTTTTAAGATGCCACACACATAATCCTGACTGAATTTGTGTACGGAAGTGAAAGAAAGATGGTGGAAGAATTTTGAAAATAATGATTGTGCTCTAAAAAATTCATCATCTCGTTATATAGACCAATTAGAAAAATATTAGCATGAATTGGTGATGAGCAGTCCAAAACACAGCAAATTTAAATAATTTGAAGGCAGCCTATGTACAGCAATGTATTGGACTGATAAATTAAACAAAACACAAAAACTGCACAGAGGCTATACACTACTATGAAAGAAAAAACCAACTTGAATGGAAAAAAGTACAACTAAAAAGTCAAAAATGTCAGTGAAACGGTGAACTGAATGATAAAGTAGCAGGTCACAATCATGTAGCAATTAATGAATTACAGATCGAGGGGCACAAACAAAATAGGGAATAAAAGCCACAGAATTTAAAGAAAAATGTCGATTTGGGATGGTTGATGAAAGTACAAAAGTACAAGAAAGAAAATTTTTATAAAATAGACTGGAAATACTACACTAAATATTTTCGAAGGATTCAAAAATTTTGAAAAAAAATCTTATAGTATTTATAAACATGCAAGAGAAAAATGCAAATTAAAAAACTTAAACTTCACATGAAACATATTTTTTTATTAAACAAATAAATACCTTTCTAAGGATTATAATTGGAGCATACAGAAAAAGTCCGATAAACAGCATACAAGCTAAAATCGGTGAACCCAGGCTAAAGCTTCGTAGACAGCTGTTAACCCCAAACTACGCTTCTAAAATACATGTAAATAAAAGAATTCCAATAAATAACAGTTTAAACATATCTATGATGAATGACTCGTCAAATTTCAATCTTCCATATTCCCACAGAATCCATCATGCAATGAAACTACTTAACTGGAAGCAATTTCCACCCTTATACAATACAAAAATATATCTTCATGACCACAATTGTCTATGTCTATTACAATTCCAAAACAATAGCACTAACCCTAATCTTACCATACAACACTTCAGAGATCTAATTAA